TGCCTTCCCTACTCACCGCGACCGGGCGGCCGTGCTCGGGGCCGTCGGTTGCGTCGAGCCGCGGGGCCGGGGCGGGCGCCGGGGCCGGGGCCGGGGCGGCGGCGGCGGCGGGCGGCTGCCGGTGCTTGCCGGCGCGCTTCGCCTTGGCCTGGATGCAGCGCTGGTGCAGGGCGAAGGTGTGCTGGCGCTCGAGCTCCAGGCGTTCGGGCGACACGGCCTCGTAGCGGGCCTCACAGGTGCTGTGGTGGCGCCGGCACAGCTCGATGCGCCGGCGGAGGCGCTCCATGACCGCGCTGTGCCGCGGCAGCGCGAACTCCGCCATGGGGCAGGTGGGCAGCACCATGGGCCGCGGGGCTGCACGGGCCGGGCCCGGGCCTCTCCGGGCCGGCTGGCACTGTGGGCTCCGCTTCCCCCGGCGGTCTCGGTCCGCCTCACGGCCGCGCCATGCTCCCGCGGGCTGCGGAGCAGGCTGGCACGCGGCGGCCTATCTTGCCCCCGCTCCGCTCTGCCCGACTTCGGGCGGGCGCTCACTGCCCACCTCAGGCCTCGGCCTGTCGCCTCCGTCTCGGCCCCATTGTTTTCCGTGCCGCCGCCGCCGCCATCTTAAAATTGTTTTCAGGGCTCTCGGAAGAGGGCGGGGCCTGCGCCGACGAGCTCCTGCGTTACGGTAAACGGACAAGGGCCGCGACCAATCAGACAAGGAAGAAGGCGCCACCCGCGGGCGTGGGCACGAGCACGTAAGGGGACGGCTTGGGCTAGTGAGCGGTATTTAAAAGGAACTCTCAAGTGAGGGGCGAAGGGAAGCCCCGGGGCGGGCCTCCGCCTCGCGGACCGAGCGGTGACTGACAGGAGCCTGTCCAAGAGGCGACAGAGGGCTTCTAAACGCCGCCCCCTGAAGGCAGGCCCTTCCGGGTCCCCGAGGAATGCGGGGTGAACCGACAAGTACGGTGCTAACTGGCCAGAACCAGATGCCCGCCTGGCAGGACGGGACTTCACATTTTCCATCGACTGTTTTTTGATCGGGGCTTTAGCAAACTCAGAGCAGGCACACGGTTTTTCCAGCCGTTTCTCCTTGACCTCATTCCTTACATCCAGCCCCATAATTGGTCAGGATTGTTCACAAGTGAGCCAGAGGTTTCCTCCCGGCACCCTTGTGAATCACTGGGACCGACCATTTCCGCCTATTTTATGTTAAGTCGGCACCAGTCTCATTACCAAAAAAAGCAAGGAAAAAAACCTCGACGTGAGAGTGTGGACTGGAGTCCAGCTGCATTACAGCGCTTCCACGGGGAGCATGACCTCCAGCTTCACTCAACACCATCCAACCAAACACACAGGTCTACAGTGATGTTACTTAGTAGGCAGAGTGGCAGAGAAGGGAAACCGAAATAGTTAAATATTGTTAATTATTAAGACCCAGACTATGTGGGATCCAGAGCCCTAAGTGCTTAGGAGGTTTCCAGTGGAAGAGGCCACCAGCATCCCAAACGTGTTATCACATTTCTAAAGACTTTCTTTTTAAAATCAGGGGGAAAAAAAAGCCCAGAGCCAAATGTTTTTTATATAAACAGTAGAAAAATACAAAATCTGAACTCTGAATTCTAATTCTAGAGTATTAGCAACTCTAATAAAAAGACCATTACCCCACTATAGAAACAATAAAACAGATCTCATCGAAGGTTACCACGAAGTTCAGTCAAAAGCAAGACACTTAACACAGCTTTAATATGACACCATTCAATAATGTGACAACTTGAGAAAAGTGAAGAAAACTAGTAAGAACACTGAAGGAACAGATCTGATTGTGTGTGGGCATGTTAAAACAGGTAGATAACCAGCATGTAAATATCCAAATATAAGAAATCGCTTTTATTTTGAGGTGTTCGGTGGGGAGGTCAAACTCAAGAGTATTGAACATGTTAGGCAGGCACCCCGCCACTACATGAGCTACATTCCCAGCCCTGTGCTTTTTTCAAGAGCTAAATCTACTGGCCATTTATTTAGTGTCAAGACACTTTAACCAGGAGGCTAACCTTAAACAAAACTAGAGCTGAGGTGTTTTTTATGTGTTCTTTCATAACATTTTGCTAAATAAACTCAGAAAGGCAATAAACACTAACGATTCAACCCTGTCTTTTCACAGTTCAGCTGGGAAATAGACATGGAATATGTCAATGAACAATGAAGAAGGCAATGACTGGAAATGCAATGATACCCACATATTTGCTTCAAGGAGAAACCTGCAGTCATATTTTCAGTTCTTGCTAAGTAACTCTTTATTTGCACTCCATACATTTGGGAAAGTCAGCTACATAGCTAAGGTCACTATGACCACAAAACAACAATGAAAAGGATAAAGCACTGAACAGCAGCAAGAAAAATGTATCCCATCCTCAAAAGAATTTAATCAAACCAGTATTTTTTTAAAGATAAAATAAATGGATAGTCTTCATCCTTTACTTCCTCTCTAATGTCTCCCTAATATAAACACTGGAGAGTGTTTATATATTCAGTGCAAGAACAGTATCTTCGGTATTTCTGAAACCTTCTGAACAAAGAATATAATGGAAACAATGTTTCTGAATACATTTCAGTGTGGTATAATAATAAAATTACACCATAGTGATGGTGAGAAGCTCTAATAGCACCCATCTGCATTCCACATAAAAAAAAAAACCTCCTAAAAATCTTTTGAAAAAAATCCTTCAAGCCACATTAAAAAAAAAAATTGAAAAGGACTCCTTTATTGTGTAAAGTTAAGACATGGCTGTTACATGAATTGCGAATGAACTTAAAATATTCTACAAAAATCAGGTAATTCATGCTATATGTCACTCCTCCCATAAATACTTTTATTCTATGTTCAATTACAGTCAATTCTGAATTGGCCCACGTCTGGATTAGACTTCTAAAGTCTTTACACAGAATAAAGGAAATGGATAAGAATGGAAGTTTGTGTTCTATCCTGTACTTTGACCCTGGAAAGGTGTGGGTCTGCTTAAAAAGAAACATACACTTAATCACAATAAAGCTTAACACTATGCAGAGCTTTATAATAATTTTCAGCAACGGACTGCAAGCTGCGCTGTGAAGAAAATGCATAGCAGAGAAAGAGCTGGGGCAGGGAAAATAGGTAAGGAAAACAGTGTCAACACAGTGGAACAAGTGGTGAAGCATCTTCTCTGGAGCCCACCTGCCCTGCCAGTGTTTCTTTAAAAAGCCAGCATTCTAGGAGGCCGGGGACCAGAGACTCCAATGTGTGAAGTAGGAATGCCCAGGTGCTGTTTTAAATCACCACCTCCATCAACTGAAAAGCTGACTGGGAACCAAGCAGTTCCAAGGGCAAGAGAACACACAAACCTTATGATCTAACCAACATCCAAGTGAAAGCTGTGTGTGTGTGTTATAAGTCTATTTTTAATACAACTTAAACAAAATCTTTATATATAAATTTGGACTTCTATCTACTCTCAATATTCTTGGAGGAATTGAGTAATAGAAGCAAAAAAAACAAGATTATAACCACAAAGGACTGTACTTAGACATGATTACCAATTTCAAGGGCCACAGATACTTGAATGTTTTGTAATATCAAACCTAAAAAAAAAAAAACAAACCTGTTAGATTAGAAAAACTGTAATTCATCCCCCTAGCTTTTCTAAATGTTGGTGTTATTTCTGCATGGACAGATTAATAAATTAAGCCAAGATTTTAGACTGGCAAAACTTCTATCATTCTATTTTAAAGAAAGATGTTTAAAAACAAAACAAAAAATACAAGTTAGTTGCTTCATGTTACATTTCACAACCATTATGTTAAATGTTTTCTTTCTACAGAAACAGGGTCCTTTATGTCACAACTGCAATTATTTACTGCTAGATGTTTAAAATCACACAGGCTAGCGCTCAGCTGGAACCTGCTGATGGTGTCATCTTGAGGTTTTCTGAGTTTCAACCTAAGGTTGCCAGGCCCTCTCCTAGGACCACACTTGCAGGGGAGGGGAGGGAGAGGAATTCACAGATAAGTTCTTAAGATTGTTTCACTCTCGTCTTGGCTTTCTGTTTCTTGGTGATCTGTTCAAAACTTCATCTTCCTATCAATTGAAAAGAAAATAAATTCACTGTAATTAACAAATTTTAAAAAATTCAAATTTCCACAATTAACCAAATTGAGTAATTCATTTGAAGCAAAAGAAACATAAGAAAATGAACAAAACCAGTTTATGGCACAGAGGTATACATTTTTGTATACATTCAAATTGTCTTTGTTTCCAAAACCATGTTACTTTTTTTTTTTTTGGTTGGATGTGGGGCTTGAACTCTGGGCTTGGGTGTTGCCCCTGCGCTCTTCAGCTCAAGGTGAGCGCTCTACCACTTGAGCCACAGCGCCACTTCCGATTTTCTAGTGGCTTATTGGAGATAAGAGTCTCATGGACTTTCCTGCCCGGGCTGGCTTTGAACCATGACCCTCACATCTCAGCCTCCTGAGTAGTTAGGATTACAGATGTGAGTCACTGGCGCTGGGCTAACCGTGTACTTTCCTCAGGCAACCCCATAAACATTTTCTTGAAAATGGATCAAGCAATCTGGTTACATTTGTTACTTGCTTAATCCTACCTAAGAAAGTACTAGACTATGGTAATGTTGGTTCCAGTCTAAAAATGAAAAAGCTTTCTTCAAAAGAAAACTGGAGACAATCCAAGTAAAGTAAAATCCCAATGGTCTTTCCCTGGGCCTGGACGTTGTCCCTCAGCATTTCAGCTCAAAGCCAGTGCTCTACCACTTGAGCCCTCAGTGCTCTTTCTATGCTATCATAAACTGACTATTGCAACTTACTATTTGAAAAGGCTGAATTTATTTAATCCTACAAGCAACTTTTTTTCAAAAAATTAGCTGAAGCAGTTTGGGAGATATAAAAATAGCTTAAGACATGGTCCAACCATCAGGAACTGCATTCTACTTCAGATTGTAATTATTACAGGAGCCTGTAATAATCTCATATCAGGTCTGTTGGAGCTAGGGAAAATACAGCAAGAGTTGATCAGATCATGCCAAACCTGTGCTCCAAAGTCCATAATAGCTGCACATATATATACTAGGAAGAAAAAGCCATGTCCACACAATGGCCTGGGAAACCCGTGTCATTTGGAACCTTCTTCACTCTTGTTTAGCATTCTTCTTGCTACTGGCCATCTTGCCTTTTAGACTATTGCTGTAGGCCTTACACTAATTGCCTAGAATGTTTTCCCACTAACAACCGCTCAAAAAACCCTTCACCTCACTCAAGGCTTCATTCAAATGTCACCTTTCTGATGAGCTCTTTACTACTGGAACCTATTCCACCTCAGCACTTCTACCATTGTTTCCTATCCAACTTCTCATAGCTTATGTAACAAACCATGTCATTTACTTCCTTCAAGAATCCAGTGCTTACTGTCTGACTCTACTAAAACTCCAGCTCTCTCAAAGGTACTATTATCTTTGTCTTGGTTCACTGACAATGCTTGGCATATTATAATGGGCACTGAACAAATAAGTGTTAAATGAAGCTGGGTGCCAGTAACTCACGCCTGTCATCCTAGCTACTCAGGAGGATGAGATATAAGGATCGTAGTTCAAAGTCAGCCCATGCAGGGAAGTCTATGAAACTTTTATCTCCAATTAACCAATAGTGGAGCTGTAGCTCAAGTAATAAAATGTCAGTCTGTGGTGGCATTAGTACACCTAGGTCCTCAGTTCAAGCCCCAGTACTGGCACCCAAGACAAAAATTAGTGTAAAATGAATTAAAGCAGAGATAAAACTTTAGAATGCACTGACTTGTGCAAGAAATACTTAGTGGAGATGTAGATGAGACAAAATTGTTTAACACACACACACACACACACACAAAATACTTAGTGGAGATGTAGATGAGACAGAATTGTTTAAAACACACACACACACACACACACACACACACACACACACA